TCTCGAACCCGCGGGCTCAGGCAATCCACTCACCTCAGCCTCCCAAAGGCGCGGGATCTCTCACCGCTCTCTCGGGACCCTCAAGGCAGTCGCGGGGGCTGGGGCACACACTGATGAACTTAATGAAATTAGATTAAAGTGGACAAAAGAGATTGCAATTAATTAGCGTTTTGGAGAGGAGAGGAAGAGTCTAGCCAATCATTTAAAGATGATGGGTTATGGAGAATAAAAAAAGGTTAAAACTATGTCTATGGAGGGTGTAGCTGCTAATCAAGAAAAGACTTTTTAGCTAGTAAGAAAGATTTTAACATGCTAGCAAACTTATAGATGATTGAGTACTCAAGTGACAAGTGGATATTCAGTAGGAAAAGGAGACAAAAGGGGGGTATTGACTTGGAATAGATTCATGAAACACATCATAATTAAGGTAGACTTATTTTTCTATCATAGTAGTTTCATAGATCTATTCAAAGTCAATACTCCTCACTTCAGACTCATAATGTTGTAAGCCTTGATGGAGTTTTATAATACTCAAGTAATTAATTTCCTTGTTGAGATAAAACTTCAAGACAACTTGTTTATATTTACCCATATATTTTGGTCTTATAAGCTCTATGATTTCCATTTTTTTCTTTTATACTTTTTCTAGGAAAATCTCTATTATCTTCTATATCATTAAGAAGACAGTTGGAACAGCGTGAACACTCTCAGTTACATAAAATCATAAAATAAAACATGGCACATTGTTGGCAAACAGATACAAATCCCAGTGAATCAAATGAAAAACAGTACGAGCACCAAGAATTTCAAGTAAATCAACCTCTCTCTCCTAGCCAAGTCAGTCTGGGTTTTGATCAGCTAGTAGATGAGATCAGTGGCAAAATTCCACTCTACAAGAATGAAATGGAAGAAAGCTTCTTTTTTGTGCCCAGTACACCAAATTGGGACTCAAAAAGGCATTCATTAGGTGAACCACACCAAATATCCTTGAATGAATTTACTTCTGAAGGTCCTGAACTCTCTTGGCATCAAGTTAGAAAAACACCAGTAATTGGTTTTAGTCCTTCCGTGCTACCAGAACTTCAAAATATGAATCCAGAATGCTCCTGGGGAAACTCCATAGGAAAGTACCATGGCACTGATGATTCTCAATTCAATACTTTTGTTGCATCATCTGCAAGTCTGGATAAAATTAACACACAAAGAGAATTAGAACATGAAAATCATAACTATTATATAGGATTTGAAAGTAGCATTCCTCCTATGTACTCATCCTTCTCAACTGACTTCATGCCAAAAGAGGAGACTAAAAAGAGTAGACATGCGGATATTGTGGAACCTTCTGCAATGCTTCTTAAGGATCCCAAGATGTGGGAAAGTACATGGCTGACAACCAAAGAGGTATGTACAATGTATGTCATTCTAAAAATATGAATAATTCAATAATATATTGTTAATTTGGCAATGATAGTAAGCAAACTTAAATAGAGAAACCTATTAATATTTCTTTTGAACTAATTTTTTTCTAAAAAATGGAAATAAAGTTTTAAATTTTTTCAAGTTCCAGTTTCATCAAAACTAAATAAAGTTTTATAATACTTAACATTGGATAAAAATATTACAGTTGAAGGTTTAACTGATGATATTTTCTATCCTTGATATGCACATGCCCAAACATACATACCTTTCATTGCACTTATATTTTGAGTCACATTGCAATGATTTGAAACTTCATATGATTATTGGTAGGGAAAAAAATGCCCTTGTAACCCAGTTGATGCTATTGGCAGGCAAGTTCTATTGGGATCATTCCAAAAGTAAAAAATTGTGTAGTTCATCCTATGGTTCCATTAGTAGCTTTCTACCCATTTTATTAACAAGAGTTTTCTCAATATTTGAAGTTTTCTCTGCTTATTTCTCTGCTTGAGTCAACATAAGTAAAACCAGAAGTAAACAGTAAAAAAGAAGCATTGTTGCAGCTGCAATTTAAATGGTGAGGCCAAATAATTATTTATTTAACTATTTATCAAATGCTTGTTATATCCTAGGCAGAATGGTGCAAAGAAGAAAGGTTATGATACCTGAATTCAGAAACAATATCTTGCTTAAATAAGTTTGCAAGCAAATAATGGCAAACAGTGAAATAATAGATAAGTCAAGTACATAGAAAAATAAACACCTAATTCTACTTAATTCAAATACACTTGCAGAGGAGGTAGCTCCTTAACTGATCTGAATTAAAAGTTGATAATGCCTAGGGACATCTAGTTCTAATTACAACAGTGTAATATGTTCTACACTGTCCCTAATGTTATAAACAACTATAAAGTTAGACAAAACAAAACGATGCAGCTGATTTCAGATGTTAAACAGGCAGCATAGGACATGTATCCTTGAGAAAAGTGAACCCTTCATCGTCCTCGTTTCCTGCTGCCATGCAGACAGGTAGAGTCCAGTTTGAGCAGCTCTGAGCTGGGGAGGAAGAGTGTGTATTTCCAAGTTGTAGAAGCAGCTGTGCTTTGAAGAGCAGAGGGCTGGAGAAAAGGTAATGATGCAATGCGTAGAAGTCAGATGTATACAGTAGATTTACAGCATATTTTGGTTAAGTATTGGGATATGTTTACAAGGCTTAGTAGATATTGTCAGCTTTGGGCTGAAAATTGAATGGGACTGTGTTTACTACAAAAAGTAGAAGTTAGACAGTGCAGACATTTTGGCCAAAGTTGAGCATTTGAGCCATTTAAATGAGATTCCACAAAGCCATGTCTTAAAAGTAAAAATCAGATTCCAAAGTGAATGTTATACCAATATACCAAAATAAGATGTGGCTTAATGAAAAATAGAAACAAGGATAAATTATTTTAACTGCCTACCAGAAGGAAAAAAAAATGTTTTGTAATTTATAATGTACCATTTACCACATCCAATATATAAGAACAAATACATTAATGTGTAAAGAATCAGATAATTTTGACCCACAGCCAAGAAAATAATCCTATCAGTAGAAAAATCCTCTGAGATCACCTGAATGTTGGAATTAACATGTAGTTGCTTTAAAGTAGTTATTAAAAGTATGTCCAAGTAGATATTTGAAAAGATGTTTATGTTGGCTAGCCCATTGAGGACTTTAGTAGGAAATTAGAAACTATAAAAAGCAAAGAAAAGTAAATGCCAATTCTAGTATTGAAAATATAATATCTGCAATTTAAAAAATTTACTGGGCTTGTTTAACAACAGATAGGACCAGATAGAGGGGAAATAGTCAATTTGAAAGCAAAATAACAGAAATTATCCAAACTGGAGAAAGAAAATACAAGGATCGATCATATAAAAATGAGCAGGGAGTCAGAAATTCATGAAACAAGTAGCATAATATACAGAAAATTAAGTTAGTGGTGGGAAGAAAAATAAGGGGAGAAATTAATTTGAAAAAATAATGGTCAGGAAATTTCTCAAATTTGGTAAAAAAAAATCAAATTACAGATCTAAGAAGATTAACAAATTTCAAGCAGAGTAAATGCAAACACCTTATACTCAAACATTTGAAAACCAAAAGTAAAGAGAAAATTATAAATGGGGAAAAATAGATTTTTTGTGAAAAAATAGATTTCACAAAGTAGAACAACAATCTGAATGAAAGCAACCTTTCATTGGAAACAAAGGAAGTCAGAATCAATTAAATGACATTTTTAAAATCCTTCAAAGAAAATAAATACTTCTATATCCATCTGAGTCAGGATCACTAGCAGAGCTGAGTAATAGATGAATTTCTTGTGGGCAAGCATAGTTTAGATAATTAAAAAGCCAGTCATGGTCAGGCATTCAGCTAGGTGCTGTTTTATCAGGACATAACTCTCTAGAGCAATACCTGTGTTGAACAGGCATCAAAGGCACTGGGGAATGCTGTTTTCAAAGAGATTAATTAATCAGTAAAACAGTAAGTTTTACCATTCCCTTGAGATTTTCACAGGATGCACATAAGCTTAGAAGTTGGTGATAAGCTAGGAATTTGTGATCAACAGATTGTAACCCACCACATACACACAAATCTTAGCTTAAAAAAAGAATTTGTTAAATCATCACTAAAAATACATGTATAATCACTCAGTTAACAACAGGTCAGGGCATTCTCTCTTAAAGGCACCCATACTCTCCCTTGAGCATGTCTTGTTCTTTCTAATGAATTATTTTGAAGCCATGCTTTGGACTTTCTCTTAAATTCTCTTCTGTAATGAAGTCAAAGAATCCATGCAGCAACAACACGGTACCCCACTCGGCATCACATTGAGTAAGTTTCAAAGTTAAAGACAAAATAAAGACATTACCATATAACAATGTTAAGAGAAATTAGTCAACTGACAAGCACACAAGAAATGCCAAAGTAAATGCTTCAGGTACAAGCATTTACCAGCTGCAATCTCTGAAAATAATACCAGCTGCAATCTATGAAAAGGTGAAGAGCAATAAAAACAGTAAGTAGGTTGAACAATGCAAATAACTACTTTTAATTTTTTGAAAGTCTGACTAAAGTAAAAAATAATAGCATGAGTATTTATTGTGAATATGGATAAAAATTATATGACAACAATAGTATAATGAGTGGAAAGGAGCTAACTCTTATTTTGCTATTGTAAATTCTTACATTTTAAATACAATGGTAGAGTAGTAACTAAGTAAACTGAGATATATTAAGGATGCATATTACAATTTCTAGAACTAGTATAGCCATTAGTTAAAAAAGGAAAAAGAAAGAAAAAGAAAAAAAATAGTTAAATTACAACAAAACCCAAACTTCACCTGTATGTAGACCACTGATGTGCCCAATCCTGACTTGTACCTCACATCTTTAAAATAAAAAAGAAATTTAAAAATTACAACAGCACAGTACTTTAAATAAAACGGGAAAAAATCTCCAAAATGTCAGGAGAAATGGAATAAACCAAAATAGAAGTGAGAAATAGAAACAAATATAAATACAATAGTCTTAAACAATTTCCATAAATAAATTAAATGTAAACAGACTAAATATTCCAAACAAAAAGCTGAAATTGACAAACTAAATAAAAAAGAAATACTCGAGTTAAGAAACAAAAGGCCAGAAAGGTTTAAAGGAAAAGAAAGAAAAAAATTTAACATTCAATCAGGAAAAAAAGTTGGTGTGGTTATTAAAATCAGAAAAAGTACAGTTCTAGATAGAGTATTATTAGAGGAAAACAGGGTTATTTCATAATGATAAAATGGTCACTCAGGAAGAGATGACAAATTAAAGTGTATATGTTCCCCCTAACAGAAGTTCAAAGTGCACAAGGCAAATTGGTTTCTTTTTAAATAATCATACATGTACCCTATAACTGATCTACTTATGCATATAGTCCCAAGAAATAAAGAATATGTTCACTAAATTACTTGTATATGAACACTGATAATTTTCTTTACACTGCCCAACAGCTAAAAACAATCCAGATGTCCATCAACAGGAGCATGGTTAAACAAATTATGGATAGTCACACAATGACTTACTACTAATCAGCAGTAAAAATGATGAACTAATTATATGTGTGACAACATGATTAATTTTTGAATATATATATATATATATATATATTTAAGTAAAAGAAGCCAGAAACAAAAGAGCACATATATTTACTATATGGTGATAGAAATCTGAATGAGCATAATTACCAAATAGGTGTGCAGATTGACAAAAAGGAGATGTGGGGGAGCTTTCTAAAATGAGAGAAATGTTTCATCTTTTTATTGGAGTACTGATAGCACAGTTGTATGCATTCTGCAACACTCAAACTACATACTTAAGATCTGTGTTTTTCTATATGTAAATATTAGGTCAATTTTTAAAAATCTTAAAAAACCGAAAATAAAATCTGAATGAAACTTTAAAATAAAGTTGTATTAAATATTTTGTCTACAACAAATTATATTAATGTAGCAGTTTTTATTTTAAGCCAATAGGTTGTTCCATTCAGCTAGCTGAAGTACCTCAAGGCAGTAACATGAGTCTGGCCTCCTTTTGTGATAAAGTAAAAAAGTAAGTATTTTACTTGTTAAACTTTGAAGTATTTGTTCCTAAATAAATTTGCCTATTTTGACATCATTGAACTGATTAATTTTGCATATAAAACATTAAAATCCTATAACTTGTGAACACAGTGAAAAATAGATAGTTTTGACAAATTAGTTCATTAATCAACTTCTGCTCATGTTTTTGTTGTTAATAGTCAAATAGATGTTTTTCTCTTTAAAAATTTGGTTGAAGTTGAATGTTTCATAAATCCAGACCTGCCTGGATGTTTGCTGTTAGATTTGTTTGCAGTGAATTAATTTCTCATTTAATGACATGAGTGACTAACTCCTCTAAGCCTCAAATTAACATAGATTTATCCTTCCTACCTGAGATATAGTATTTAGAATTAAAAGAGTCATTTCCTCTTAATAGTTCAATCTTGCCTTGAATGGGATGGCAAAATATTAAATAAATGCATTAAATAAATCCACTGCAAAACAAATCTGATCACTAGGGAATACTACAAAAAAAACACTGATCTTTTTGCTAATATAAAAATGAATTTATGATATAAAGGCAGATGCCTTTTTTAGAGAACAATTTCTTATTAGCAATTGAAATTCATGTAATGCCATGTCTTCTATTGCTAAAGTTTCTGAAAGTTTAGAAAAATTAATGTATTTACATTTTAATTCTCTTTGTTTTAACCCCTTTATGATTGTTATTTGAAATATAATACATATACATTTTATTAGCTTTCACTTTCTACTAAATGATTATTTGAGATTAAATATTTGAATCACTTATTTAATCATTAATTTAAAGGCTATTTCAGTGCCTAATAACTACTTCATGCACGAAAGATATTCAAATTTGAAACAAAAAAGCAAGGTCTCTGCCTAAAAAACAAAAACAAAAAACCTGTCTGTAGCTATATTGGTAGGAGTGAAAGGCACACATCTAAAGATACAAACAAATCATCTCAAATACACGACAATGTTCAATCTTTAATTTCTTGTTCTAGTTTGCAGAAGAAAGCTTAAAATGGTATTTAGTATTCCTAAATTAGAACACTTGAGCTTGTCAATATTAATTCCTTCAGGAATAAGCTAATTCCCTGAAACAAAATGATAAATATAGCTAGAAAGTTACCACTTTAAGTCTAAAATGTGATAGTTCTTACTTTCTAAGCATGAGAAATAGCTCTCTTAATATTATAAGATATCACTCACTGCTCTGTATAACTCTACTGACAGAATGCTTATTATGATCTCCTTCAACAACTCTTTTTGTAAAAAAAAAAATTTTATATTCTTAGATGATAGACTTTTATGGATGCAGTAATGACATGAAAATATTCTATGTAATGCTTTATTAATAGCCTATAGTGAATTTTCCAATCTCTTAAATATAATATTTCTCAAGAATGATAGTTATGATAGTTTACATGTCTATATACAAATGTCTTACGTGCCTTTTCTATTCTCACAATAAACATTTGAAGTAGATATTAGTACCCTCTTTATTGCAAAGAAGCTATTCAAATAATTTACCTGTGGCCGTAGCTTTACTAAATGAAAATGCCAGGACACAAACTGAAAGCTTCCGGCTCCAAGGATAAACTGTTTTAAAATTATTTTGCTCATTTATAGATAAGTAATTGTTCAGAATATAAGAGTATTTTCCACGATGAATTATTTGTGTAAAATCCAAAAATTTAATGAAAATGGAGAAACAAAATAGTGTTTAAAAATTTTTACACAAACAAGAATATTTATCTCTAAATCAAGAGGAGTAGGGCCGGGTGCGGTGTCTCAAGCTATAATCCCAGCACTTTGGGAGGCCAAGGCAGGAGAATTGCCTGAGCCCATGGGTTCGAGACCAGCCTGGGCAACATGGTAAGACCTCGTCTGTACAATAAATCAAAAAATTAGCTTGGCGTGGTAGTGCACACCTGTAGTCCTGGCTATTTGGAAGGCTGAGAAGGAAGGATCACCTGAGCCCAGCAGGTAGAGGTTGTGGTGGCCAGGAGCATGCCACTGCACTCCAGCCTGGGAGATAGAGTGAGACCCCAACTCAAAAAAAAAAAAAAAAAAGGAGTGACTTGTAGCTTGAGAAAGTTAAACATAAGAGAAATTTAACAGGAAGAATTCAGGCATCAAAACAATGTAAATGAAGAAAGTAATAAAGTTCAGGGTGAATTCTCATGTTTTGTGTTATGACAAAATAGTATTAATTATTTCAAATGAGGTGCTCCTGGGAAAACCTAAAGAACGGTCCTTTACACTTGTTTTTGATATAATTGTAATCTCTACCCATCTGGTCTAGCTAAATGCACTGCACTGCAAATCTATTAGGATTGCTTTCATGTTTTAAATCTTTTATAACAAAGCACTGAATGAAGTTCCTTATATTGTGAATGATGTTTTAAACTGCCTCTTGTAGATCTTATCCTAAGTATTTTTCCTCATATACACACACACACTTTTTTTTTCAGAATAAGAGAAATATATCATGCAACTGACATTAATTCCAATGCTGGGAAGATCTGGAGTACTACTACAACATTTCCATATCAGCTTTTTCCTAACACAAAGTTTAATGTAAACATTTTCATGAATAACTCAACACAGCCACTTCATTTTATGCCATATGGTAAGTACCCTTGCAAATAAGTACAAAAATCTACATAAAGCTTGCATTGGCTACAAAGTCTTGAATTTATAGTCTGAAATTACTAAAAGAGGAATTATTCGCTGTTTTGCCTTAAAGTGAAATAAGAGGAAAACAGCTGGGAGCCCTTTATTAAAACTTGAGGGAGGGAGGGGAAACTATTTTCTTGAAGAATTTTCTTCCCATAACTCACCCCAGAATACTTTATTTTCCAGAAATAAAATACTTTTAGCAAGTACAAGGGGAGATCCCCCAAAACCCTGAACTTATTTATTTAAAAATTGTGCATTTATTATTACATGTTTAAAATTCAGTAACCCTCATAGTACTCTCCTTTTAATGTAATACACCTATTGAGACTTTTTCCCAACTGTTTTTCTTCAAAACAGTTTTTTAACTCACCAATTTTGATGCTCTTTACTGCTTCTGCTGTTCTTCTACATTGGCAAAATGTGTTTCCCTGAGAACTTTTTACTTCTGGAAAAAAAAAATTGCTTGGAATGAGATCGGTGAAAAAAAAGTATGGGGCAAAGGTATCATGCTGTTATTGGTCAAAAACTGCCGAACATTTAGCACTGTGTGGGCCGAAGCATTTGTAAATCACACACCATGAAATAAGCAAACGTGTCGAAAGAATCTCCAAAATAAAATTCACTGAGGCTGAATGCTGCCTCTCACAGCAACACTAGATAGAACACTGATGCCCATAGGTGCCTAGAACATTTACCTAGCAGGGGAAGCCTGTACTACGAGAGTTCCACCCTTTAAAAAATAATTCTGTTTTCTGAGGAGTCCTCTTGTATAGCAAGTTTCTAACATATTATTCTAAAATAGAATTTCAAAAAAGATACTAAAGTTAGCATATAAGTGAAAATGGCTGTTTCTATCCATTGGGAACAACTATTCTACTCAAATATAAATAAGTTGTGAGGTAAAATAGACATTGGTATATAGAATCTCTATTTCCACAATAAGGAGTCTGGTAGCCCTGTGCAACCTCACCACCATATAAATTAACCGATCAGTTGATTTAGTCTCTGGGGATATCTCCTAGGAATTTCTGTTTTATCAAACTCACCTGATGATTCTTTTCTAAAGTTTTAGAATCTCTTTAAAGTTATTTAATATTTTATTTTATCATTATAATCTACTATTATGCCGAACAATATTAGTCCTTTTAACAACTTTAGCTGCCACTAAATGAGTTTTTGCTTATTAACAGAAAACTGTTTCCTGACACATAATGATTCAGTAAATATTTTAATTGATTGGTTATTGTTGTTATTTTGCTTTTTTTCTTTCTTAATCTTTTCAAGTTTCTGAGTTAGTGCAGATGACCACAAACTTAGCAGTGCTATTTTGTCGGTATAGCGGTTAAGAGCATCTGGTTTGAAACTAATAGAAACAAACTCCTGCTAGCTTAAGTAGAAAAAAAAGTAAAGAATATAAGGATTTCTTACAGATTTCAAGAGTAGGAATTCAGCAAAAAATTAGGAATGTACTAAAAGCAAATGACCAAACAGCCCCAAATTCCTCTGTATCTCCTATTTCATCTCTCAGTAATTGCTTTCCATGTCTTTCTTGTTCTCTGCTGGCTCGTTACCTTTCTTCTTCAAAATGAATAGAAAGCCAAGCTCTTAATGTGGTTGCCTAAAGATAATCAGTCTCTCTATAGGAGTCGGTACCCAGTTTCTAAAAGCAAGATTTGGAATCCCCAGCCAAGATCAATGATGCTGCACCTTGATTCAATCAGATGAGTCTAATAAGAGGGACTGATTTTGACGAGACAGATCACTTCTATTCTTCTAAGTTACAATATTTAATTTCCAACATCTCTCTCTCTCTGGATGTCTCCACTGAATTTGACAAACCAAAGATTATTTTTTACTTTTATGAGAAATTTTAGTAAATTGATAAAGTCATTGTGTTTAGTGTGAGATGCAGTGGTAAAGAGCATTTTCATGTCCTCAAAGTTGCTAAAAATCTAAGAATAAGAAAAAGGGAGTGCAAAAGAAGAGAAAGAAGCAGAAAAAGAGAAAAATCACATTCATGAAAAATTTCAGAGCAGCATTTACCACGGCTTAGGAAATAATGTTTTCTCACCCACTTAGGTTGAATGGTTGTACAGGGGGCTTGCAAGGTGCTGTGAATCAGCTAACAACAGATTATTACCCCCCAAAAATATTTGTTTACACATGTACATGTACATGGAGGTCACAATAATGAGCAACTCTCTGAATACCAAGAGGTAAGGTTTATTTACCAATTTATCTCTCCCCTCAGAGGAGAGATAATGGCAGCTATATTTTTGTGAGTCTCTGCTTCAGTCAGATAAAGAAAACTAAGATTTCAAGTATTTTTACTTTAAAATAATCTTTATGCCAAAACTCTAGTAACTTTATAAACTTACATTAGTATTTTACTAGAATTATAGATGTGCTCAAAAGAACAGAAATCTAAAGGGAGTATTAAGAATGACTTTGGTAAAATTTAGAACATGTTTCTAGAAAATTAAGGAATGATGAAATCGAGATAAGAAAAGACAAGAAGACAGGTGAAGGGGTTTTAATCCCAAAAAAAGCTAAATTTCCTTAAGAATAGGGAAATGAAGTTGGATTTTTGTTTCTGTTTTTGTTGTTAAAGAAGCAAATGTTTTGAACAAGAAATTCTCTGGTCTATAATCTTCAGCTATCAAATCAATAATATGATCCCTAAGTTCTTATTTCCAATTACAAAAACTAGAGTCAGTGTTTTTACTTTCAATTATCTTGTGTACTTAGATGACACATGATTGGAACTGTCTACTAGGAAGTCATTTATGAAGAGTTGAAAGAAGCTGAAAAAAAGAGTTGAAAGAAGTCAGTTTGCAAGGATTAAAGAATAATTGAGAACTGTTTGTAGAAGTTGCCTAGTCTTTAAAGAAGTTTAGCAGAAAAGGGAAGATAAAAGAAAGGATAGTATCTTGAAGGAATGGAATGGATGAAGAGATACTTTATTGGAAGGTTGAATGAAAACAATATCTTTAGGAAAAGAGGAAAGCATCTTTAAAGTGAAGGGTGTTAAATATATTTTTAAAATAAGGGATTTAATGATGAAACTGAAAGCCAATGTAGGAAGAGAGACAGTTGAAGAAGCAAGAAAACAAAAAAGCAGGAACATTTGTCTCTCAAGAGGGATGTAAAGGGTTGGAGGAGGATGGGTAAAAACCTATATTTGAAACATAAAGTAAGATAGCTAAAGAATCTCAAATGGGTCTTAGCCTTTTCAATAAGAAAGATAATATCACCAACAGTGAGAAAGGTTGCATTAGTGGGAGATCACAAAAAAATTGGAAGAAGGATTGTATTGTATCAGTGGTTGAAATAAAAGTAGTTATAAAATTTATTTAAAAGAAGTCACAACACTTGGCTTACAACAGAGATGATAAGTTTAGCTCATAGATTCTAATGGTTGGCTTCAAGGGACAGATAGGGATTTCAGATATAGACAGGTTGAATTTGAAGAAATAATAAAACAACCAAAGAATAACATGGAAGAGGTAGTAGGAGATATCAAACCAAATCACAGGAGGCAGTAAGCTAGAAATTGGGTTATGGAGTCTTACATGCAAAGTAGAAAGGTAATTTTAACAAAGTAATAAATTCATAAATGCTCCATACTGCATAGAGAAGGCAGTCCTGGAAATAGTATGGTCAATTAAATTAATTAATTTAATTAATTGATGTTTTGGAAATAACTTTTCTGCTATCATATACTGGCAATTTCCTTCCCTCCACATTAAAGCCCCATAGTGATGATTTTGCCTGCAGCCATATTTTCACCTAGCTTCAATTCATTTCACTTAGTTCAATATTCCCAAGCTTCACTGGGCTTTCAGATTCTCTGCCTTGTCAAACATTTACACAATTCCTAATTCCTTGATGCTCTTTACTATTTGTTTCTCCAACCATTTATTTGATGACATCTTGATCTACCATAAATCCTCCATTTGTAAATGCAGAATTATACGCTTTCTTTTTTCTTTGTGGCAGTAATATCACTTGCACTATGTCTTGCTATCCAGTTTGGATCAAAATCCTTTCCCTCCAAAAACAGTGATAGCAGTGAAAGAAGCCACAGCAAAGTAAACACACAGTTGCAAGCAAAAGTCTACTCAGACAAATGCAATTAACCATTTGCAGCATGCTAATTATTCCTGGTTAAGGGTCACCCACACAGTCTACTGCAGTTGCTTTCATTGACTGAGACTAGAAGACCACATTCAAAGAATGGGGGGAAATTTTTAAATTTTATAAATTTCCCCCCATTCTTTGAACACACACACACACACACACACACACACACACACACACGCACGCACACACACATATAAATATATATAAAAGGGGATCTCCAAAAACCCGGAATTATTTTTTGGAGAATGGGCCCTTGTAATACAGGCCTCTTCTGCTAGGTAAGTTTTCTAGGAACCCATCAGCATCAGTGTACTAGTCAGCATTGTTGTGAGTGACTGCGTTCTACTTCAGTGAATTGTTTTTTGGGGATTCTTTCAATATGTTTGCCCTTGTCATGATGACTGATTTACAAGCGTACTTGCCCACACTGTGTTTAGAATTCAGCAGTTTTTGGCCAAAAACATGACTTTCATGTCCCACCCTCCCTTTTTACCCAGTCTCATCCTGAGCAACTTTTTTGTTCTCAAAGTGAAACATTTTGCCAATGTGGAAGAGGTAAAATGAAAAAAGGCAGAAGCACTAAAAGGCATCAAAATCGACAAGTTCAAAACCTTTTTGAGCAGTGGAAAATGTCTCAATAGGTGTATTTCATCAGAGAGAACTTTGAAGGTGACTGAAGTGTAAACTAATAATAAATACACAAATGTTTAATAAATAAATTCCAGGTTGTTGGGGTTTTCCTCATATATGTGTATGTCTTAGACTCATATCAGATACATACATATGTGGATATATACATTCCCATAATATTTATAATTAGGAAAATATTTTATAAGCAATTATCATTATAACAAGTTGTTAGAGTTCTGGCCACTATTAAATGGTATGTATATGTAAGAGCTTAGCAGGGAGATTATGGAATGTGAATATGAGAAAATACATGACTTTATCTTATAACATGTTTACATTTTGAGTTTCTAGAGAAAAAGGTGGAGGAAAAAAGTACATATTAAGGTTTCTAAAGTATGGCTGTTCAAGAAAGAAGTTTGGGTAACTGCTACATGGGAAAGGAAGAACAACCAACTGTGTAGACTTAGAATCATTAAGGGCACAATCTTTGGAGTCTGACAGATCTTGTTTAGACTCTTTGCTTAATATGTAACACTGATAATGTAATTGCTATCAAATTTCTCTAAAGATCAGTCAATTTCCTAGGGCGATTTTCCAAGTCCCTAAGGTAACTAGAGTAGATTAGCTTTTACACAGAGGTACATGGTACCAAGGTTTTTAACATGAGGAACAGAATACCTAACTTTGTTATGTTATATGAAAATAAAACCAATCAAAAGAATCACAAACAATATATTCAAAAATATCTCTAACCAGACTAATAAATGAGGTGAAGCTCACTTTAATTCCTCTTGATGAAACCAGACAATTACAATACTTAATGTGCTTGGTGTTTTTTGTGCTCAGATACCTTTCCCACTCAATATATGATAAGCTCTTATTAACTTTTATCATTCACTTTTGTTTTTAGCTAATTATCTTGTTAAAGACCTAATTGCAGAAACTCTACATTTTTGTGCAAATGACCAGCTGTTCCCCAAAGATTATAGTCTAAGTATTTGTGGCTCTGAAGAATTTTTACAAAAGTAAGTACTTTAATAAGGTAAATAATGAGTTGTTAGAACCTGTATTAAGTAACTCTTTTTAAAATTTTCTTTTAAGCGAACTTGACACAAACATTATAATATTATAATCAGCATGAATCACATTAACAGTCTTATTCTTGGTTTTATTTTATATTATGTGTATTTATGGCAACAAATATTTATGTGATCTGTGGCCAACCCTCTCAGCTTGCCCAGTATTAACTAATGTCCTGGGCAAATCAAGACAAGTTAGTCATCCTACTTGTAAAAAAGTTTATCAGGACTGATCACAGTTAAGTAAAGTTTTAATGGTAAGTAATTTTTTGGTTTGGAATAATATTAATATTTACGTTAATTAAAACTGATTTTTACAAATCACAAAGAATTTAAATATAAGCATTATAACATTTTAATTATAAACAAATAAGGTCTAGGCCGGGCTCAGTGATTCGACCTGTAACCTCAGCACTTTGGGAGGCCAAGGCGAGTGGACTGCCTGAGCCCAATGGCGGGAGACCAGCCCAGGCAACTGGGTGAGACCTCATCTCTACAAAAAAATAAAAAAAAAGCCAGGTGTGGTAGTGCGCATCTGTAGTTCCGGGCTACAGGGAAGGCTGAGGCGGAAGGATCTCTGGAGCCCAGAAAGTCGACGTTGGGATGACCATGAGCATGCATGCCACTGCACTGCAGCCTGGGCAAAGGAGTGAGACTCGAACTAAAAAAAAATAATGTTTAAAACACTTTCATTTCTTTATTGAGGCAGTTTATTATATCACTTGCAGAAGTCTGTTCTCACATATTTCAATTTAATACTTATTTGATGGAAAAATCTTAAAGTTTATCACAATAACAATTTGCCTGAAATTCCTTAGACATCAGACTTGAACATATAATATAACTTTAAGAAAGATATATTTATCTGCTGATATTATTCTATAGTCATTCTAAACAGTAAAATATTAAAGCCTCAAGTGTTCAATAGAGTGGATTGCCATTTATATTTCTCCTTTGCGTTTCTGCATGTACTTAACATTGATAGGAGTCTCATGGAAGTAAAGATGTATTTATTTTGAGATTCTCGTTGTTATGGTCATTATTATTCCATCATGAATGTGCTTGAAAATATCTTGTGAGCAGTTTGATTAATTTCTTGATATTCTCATCAGCAAATCCAGTTTTTTATTGTGTAATGTAACTGTGAATGACTTTTAAGACATTTTTGTTATCACTTATAACAAAATAATAAATATCTGTATGAATTCACAGATTTTTGTTGTACTCAGCTGACAGCTATCTCCCCTTTTTTGTTTCTGTTTGAACTTAAAAAACTCAATATATTTTTTCAATGACTAGGCTGCTGTCACCTCCCCATATACAGTTTTGACAATAGATCCAATGAACACAGGAAAATATTTTAGTAAATTTAATGTCAAATTGATTACTCATTAGCACTCATATTTTGAATGTGCAATTTTTCAAGTGTACATCTGGATTTTGCTTGATGTCAAAACATTAGAGCTATAAAGTAAGAAACATTGTGAAATATTTGCAATCAGTTTAGCAGTAGAAAACATCATCCAGAAAGCAATTATATTAAGGAGATAGAAATAAATTAAAATTTTATTTAACTGGGTTTTATTAAAATAGGAAAGTTGCCAAGTACTAGTATGGATTGAATATAGTCACTTATTCCCTAATAAAAAACTGAAGCATTTGTATATATTAGGCATTTGCTTATTAAGAATAATAGCCTACCTGGGTTGATATAATTTATTTAAATGCACTGAATATTCATTACTGTACTTTCTAGTCTCTAAAGGAGTATGTATTAGCCATTCAGATTTTGTTTCTCAGTGTACTTATGTAATTTTTCTAAGAAATATGTCCTTAAAGACTTGGAATTCTGTTCATAAAGTACTTCTGTAGAGGTAGCACAGGTAACAAGTAATAAGTTAATAATAGGATAATAATTTAGACTCTAAACCTTATAGTACTATACTTCATCTGCAATATTTAACCAGCTAAGGTTGCAACAATAATAATAATAGTAATTGCCATTTATTAAGCATTAATTGTTTGGTTTTCTCATATTGGGTAGACATGTAGGTCTCATATCATATCCATCAGATAGATACTATACTGACCTCTGTTTTGCAGATGGCGTATTGGAGGCTTTGTTCAAAGTCACACAGCTAGAAATGTAGATTAAAGTCTGAATTCAAACTAGAGTTTGACTGCCTGAGTAGCCATGGCTCTGAACTACAATACAGTGCTGAAAAAGCACTTGAGTGAAATACAGAAAGTAGCAAAGAGTTCTTCATACTAGAGTATAGAATAAAAAATGTATGCAGTTTTGCAGGTGTCTGAAAAGGGTAGGAGTAAAAGTATCATAATAGTTCGGTTCAAAACCTACTGAGTATTATGCACTTGCAAAATATTTGACCAATCACTGAGAACACAAAGATGATTTACATATAATCCCTGCCTTCTTCCTTTTCAAGTAATCAGTTACTATAATGCCCTATTTTAACGATAGTACTAGTATTACATACCAATTGCCTTCAAATCAGAGGAAAGAGAAGGATTATGGGCAAGAATAAGAAAATGGTACAAAGAAAAGTCAATGATCAGCTTGTATTTAAAGGATAAATACTGAGTAAAGACATGAATATTTTCGATAAAATCTTAATAGCTTTAGAATATATAAAATTACTTAAAGTTTGTTTTTTAAAAAATAATTATTAACTGCAAAAAAGGGTTAAGAATGTGAATAACAATTCAAATGGAGAAGGAATATTTAAAGAGTTTAACCTAATTAATAGCAAGCATGACGTTAAAACAAAGGCCATTTTTGCCTATTAGTTTGTTAAAATATTTATGACAATGCAATGGGAAAATGGATACTATTCAAACAACTGTTGGGAATAGAAATTGATAGAGTACCTACTAAAGGAAATTCTTTCAAAAATGTACCAAAAGCCTTTGTAATCTCTATAATTTCTGTTTTAACCATTCTGCTTCTACGAATATTTATAAGAAAACAATCATAATTGTGGTAAAAGATTTAGATATTACTGAGCTCGGTGGCTCAGCCTGAATCCCAGCACTTTGGGAGACTGAGGTGAGTGGATTGCCTGAACCCATGGGATCGAGACTCGCCTGGGCAACTTAGTGAGACCTCATCTCTACAATAAATCAAAAAAATTAGCCAGGTGTGGTACTGCGCACCTGTAGTTCCAGTTACTTGGAAGGCTGAGGTGGAAGGATCGCCGGAGCCCAGCAGATCGAGGCTACAGTGGCGGGGAGCGGCCACTGCACTTCAGTCTGGGTGACAGAGAGAGACTCCAACTCAAAAAAAAAAAAAAAAAAGATTTAGATATGAAAGTATTTGCTACACCATGATAACTAATGATAAAATGAAAAATTGGAGAAAAAGTTAAATCTCCAATAATTCCCAAAAATAATGGCAAAGTAGATTCTGAACACAATTTAATAGAAATATGGCATATAATTTACAAAATATTTTTAAAATGTAGCACCATATGTCTTGCTATAAATATATGCATCATAGCTTGTAAAAATGAAAAGAAATGTTTTCAAACCACATTTTAAGATTAATTTTGTTTAAAAAGTATATTTCTATTTGGCAAAGAAAGTGAAATCATAGGCACTAAAATGTTAGAGTAATTACATCTTGAAAAACTACCATACAGATGATATTTATTTATTTTTTTAATTTACAAAATTTCTGCACTGAGCATGACTTCTTGTTATCAAAATGTTTTTTAAAATAATTATTTCTATTATGAAAGAAGCATTTAAGTGACAGTGTAAATAATGTGTGCTTAAAAAGAGTTAGAAAGTAGTTAGGAGACTATTACTGAACATAGGAAAGATTGCCAGGGCCAGAGCTAAAGTAGTGGCAGTGTAATAATCAGGACGCAATAAACCTCTAGGGTATTAAAATGGCAGAATTAATGGATCTTAGTGACTGAAAATGTGGGATTAAGTGAAAAGGAGAAATAGAAGATGATGACAAGGTTCAACATTAAGTTCAATGATGTTTCAGATCTGAGAGAACCAGAGGTTTTGGTAGTGCATGGAAATTATTCAGGTTTCAGACATGTTGAGTATTTGAGTGCTGCTAGACATATGATATTGGAAAAGTAGATCAGATTTGTGAAAACTAACATGGGTTAGGGAATCATTGGTTTTTAAAAAATGATTTCTTTTTTCATGTGACAAATAAAATTGTATATATTTATCATGTACAACATGATATTTTTAAACATACATACTTTGTAGAATGGTTAAATTGAACTAGTTAACATATGTATTATCTCACATGCCTATTTTTTGTGATGAGAGTACCTAATTCTTATGGAAGTTTTTGGGATTTTCTTTTGCTTTTTATTATATTTTCCATTTATTAATATTTTTCCTACCGTCTTCCAATAACAAATATTATTTTATTTATTTTTTGTTTTATTTATTAATTATAGAGTAGTGGGGTACAAATGAGGATTAACTACATAAGTAGGCTGCATGCAGGTGATGTTTGGGCTACTAGGTGCTCCCATCTCTCCCTGGTAATGGACCAGGTACCCTTTGTGTTGCCACATGTCCACCACCCTGTTCTCTCCCTCTCCCCCACTCTTCTACCCTCCCTTCCTCCCTTCCCTAGCAGTGCCCAGTAACTGCCAATTTCTCACTTGTATTAATGTGACGATAGATCAGGGCCCATTTATGAGTGAGAACATGCAGTATTCAGTTCTTTGTCTCTGTGATAGTTCACTTAGTATGATGATCTTTAACTGCATCAAGTTGCTGGAAAGGCCATGATTTTGTTCTTTATGGCTGTGTAATACTAAATCGTTTATACATGTGCATTTTCTTTCTTTCTTTCTTTTTTTAGATTAGAAAATATGGTTTATTTAGAAAATAAATTAGAAAGAGAGAGAAAGAGGTGATTCGCCTTCCTAAGGTAGAGGAGGGGCCTA